CCTTCAGCTGATCAGATGAGACCCACCTACTCTATGGAAGGCGATCTTAATGTCATTTTAAAAATAAGCTTTACAGAGACACTTAGAGCAGTACTTGCCCATGCACTGGGCTCATGCAGTCTCACCAAGTTGGGACATAAAACTAACAGTCACAGCCCTCACACTGCCAGTCAGTGTCATTCTGGATGTCCCAGCCAGTGAAATGGGTGGGAAACAGGAGGAACAGCACATAGGTCAGAAAGGAGGAAATAAAACTATCTTTTATCATAGATAAAATAATTGTCCAAATTGAAAATCCTGCCTCAAACTAAAGCAAAGCTCCTAGAACTAAAGTGAGTTTCTCAAGGTCTCAAGATACAGGTAGAGTATATAAAAGTTCATTGTATTTCTATATATTGGCAATGGAACAGTTAGAATTGGCCATTTTTAAGTCATCTATCTATAATAATACCAAAATGAAATAATTAGGCAAAGATTTTGAAAAGACAGACAGACAGATTATTGATTTTGGGGTGGGTTGAGACAGGGTCTTGCCATGTAGCCCACAGTGGCCTTGGACTCGAGACCCTGCTACCCCACCCTGAGTGCTGGGATTACAGATGTGTGCCACTGTGCCCAGCTCTATGCTTAGAACTGTAAAACTGCCGATAAAAGGCAGAAAGATACACGAAGACAGAGAGTTATGCTTTATTCACATGTTGAAAGTTTCAATAAGATATCACTTCTTTCCAGACTTGATCTATAGATTCAACACAACCCAGCAGGATCTCCAGTTTCATCCACATTGTCAAAAAGACAGGATTTCCTCCTTTTTATGGCTGAACAGTACCCGACTGTGTATGCAGACCACATCTTTTTACCCATTCATCAGCGGGTGGGCACTGGGGGAACTCTCAGAAACTGCTGCCAGGGGTGGAAATAGTTCAGACTCTTTGGAAAATAGTCTGTATTTCCTAATACATATTTACCACATGGACCAGTAATCTTATTCCTAAGTACTTACTCAAGAGAAGGAAACATATAGCAACAGAAACCTGTAAGTGAACATGTATACTCATTTTTTAAAAATCATCCCAAACTAGAACCACTCCAGGAGTCTTTTACCTGGCAAATAAATAGATAAGCAGAATGCTGTGCACTCATACACTGGAGGAATAATCAACAATAAAAAGCTGTAAACTATTGTTGTCTATAGCAATGCAGTAAGTCTCTAATGTGAGAGAATCGATACTTTAAAACATCTATAAACTCTATAAATCCACATGCGCTATTATGGAAAATGTCCAGCATCAAGACAGAAAAGGCCTTGGGGTATGAGAACAGGTTGCCACCAGGGGCTACACAAGGAAATGTGGGTGGAGGGATGGATGATGAAAGAAGTGTTCTGTATCTTAACTTTGATGAGAGATACGTATTTCTTTCTTTTCTTTTTGTTTTTTTTTTGGTGGTACCTGGGACTGAACTCAGACTCAGGACTTTGCTCTTGCAAGGCAGGCAGTGGCACCACTGATCTACATCCCTGGATAAGAGATACATATTTCTATGAATTTTTCAAAACTTACAGAACTACACACCAAAAAAGTAAAATTTACTGTATGCAAACTTAAGAAATAATATTCTTTTATTGGGGAAAAATAATCCAGACAAAGATTAACAGCTAAAGGGCAGGGATTTCTCAGACAAACACTAACTGGAAGCAAGCTGGTCTAGCCGTATCATTGTCAGGCAAGATGATCTCAGCAGCTTGCTTGAGACACGTAGCTCTCAAGGGGAGACTCCCGTGTTACTCTAAAGTCCATGCTCCTTTCAATACGCCTTAATGACATACATTCCAGTTATCAACACGTGGAAGTTTATTACAAAGAAGGTTTTGAGCTAACCCTTCTTGAGCACACAAATTCTACAGCGAAATCAACATGGTTGTCATGTTTTCACCCAACTCAACCAAGACAGCAAATCCTCACCCAGGAAATTTTTACTTAATGCTTAGGAAACCTGGAGATGTCTGACCTTAGTTTCTTTTAATAGTTATAGAAATTCTCCATTACTCCCAGCAAAAGATGCAAAATTTTAAAACGGATGTCTTCCTAAAAGGCAATAAATATTAGCATTTAGAATAATGAAAATGACCAGAGGAACTTGCCTACTTTGAACTGAAACATATACAGGAAAACTGGGAGAGAACCAACTTCATTGGTGCCTATGTGCACTGGAGATGTCTGCTCCACACCACGATCCTCACAAAGAGCTTAAGGCAAATGATCACATTAAACACCGAGTGCCACTTCCACAAAACAAGGATGCTTGACCTTCAGAAGTCTACGTGAAGAGTCAAGCAGAACAGCAATTAAGCAAAGTTTCAAGTAGGTCCCCCAAATTCCAACAAAGTGCTCTGGTTCTGTTCCCTTCTGGGAATTTCTTCAATCAAAACACAACAGCTGCTTGTCCTTACAATGTGGAAAAATGAGAGCAGGAAGCTCTTAGACCATCTTGGACCACTAGCTTTTGGGGTTTAGGGGGAAATGAGTTTAAATTAAGCCTGAAACTACAGAAAACAAGGAGATAATACACATTCTCATCATGGCAAGCTATTTTGTTTACTGTATTAAGGGCAAACCTGGTTTCAGTTGCTCACCTCCTACTTCCCTTGACAGTAGAGGTGAATCTATTATGTCACTCCATCAACACGAGGTGTGCTGCTATGTACCGAGAACCGTCTAAGAAGTCAGTTTCCATAGAGAACTAGAATGGAGCAGTGGAACCGAAGCCAAACCTCAAGGGAAAAACACTGCATTGCTAGGCAAATTCCCAGTTAACTGTCCTAGGCCCAGTCCCCTGATGTCTCCCAACTCTCCTATGCTCATTCTAAAATATGTGACTTCTGTCTTTTGCAGACTGGTCATGCGACACCATGAATTAACAGAGACCTGAGGCAAATACTCCTAGATAAAGGAAAGGACTTTACCTTTTGCTAAACTCCTAACCTTGGCAAAGAGTTTTCAGGAGGCTAGGACTCACCTGAACTGTTGAATGCAATGCAATGAAAAGAACTTGGTATGGGCACAAATCATTGTATTTATAGTGACAGATACACAAACACATGGGTGGGAAAGAAGGGGACAGACAGCCACTTGTTGTCAGGGCAGGATGCAGTTAGACATAAGAAAGGAGGGATGGACAGAAGACGAGAGAAGGAAAGGAAGTGACCTAGCTAAGATTATGACATCCAAATGCCAAAGCACGGATAGAGGTACAAACTATGTGCCAAGGACAAAAACCAAGCTTGGCTGAAAGAAGCATAGAATTATGATTCTTGAACAATTTCTTGTTCAGATAACAAGCTGCTACCTGTATTTTCTAGGCCATCAAAGATCAAGGCATTCCATAATTATATCATCTTGTATATAAAAATACTAAGAAATCTACATTTAAAAAATATTAGGGCTAGCAAATGAGTTCAGCAAAGTGGTAGGATGCAAAGCCAACTCACAATATCAGTTATATTTCTATACCCTAACAGTAAGTAATCTGAAAACAAAATTAGGAAAACAATTCCATTCACAGGAGCATCAAAAACAACAAAATCTGTAGTAGTAAATTTAATGAAAGAAATGCGAAAATTGTAACCTGGAAAACTACAAAACATTGCTGAAAGAAATTAAAAGAAATAAAGGGAGAAGATGCTCAAGGCTCATGAACTGGAAGACTTGATACTGTTAAGATGCCAATGTCCCCAAACTACTCTCTGCAATTAATATCTGAATTTCAACTACTTTTTGGCAGAAGTTGAAAAACTGTTTGTAACTTTCATATGGAAATGCAAGGGACCCCAACTTGTCAAAAGTACTCTTCCAAAAGTCTAACAAAGTTGGAGGACTGACACTTCTCCATTAAAATAAATGACTATCCAGTCTCACTGCTGTAAAGCCACAGTAACCCAGGCAGGGTGGTGCTGGCGTAAGAATGGACATAGAATCAGGGGAGCAGAACTGAGAGGCCAGGTGTAAATATATACACGTACAGTCCACTGACTCCTGACAATGTTGCCAAAGCAGACAACTGGGAAAGGAATAATTTCATAAATCATGCTTCCGGAACTTCCGGGGATCAATACTCAGAAGAATGAACTTGGACCCCTTTCTTGAGGCACATTTAAAAATAGGTCAAAATAGATCAGAGACCTAATTCAAAAGCTAAAGCTATTAAACTCCTAGAAGACCACCTAAGGTTTAATCTTTGTAATTTTAGATTAGGTAACAGGTTTGTAGATGTGACATTTGAAGAAACAAATAAAAAAGTATATAAATTAAGTTTAATCAACATTAAAAATATTTGTGAACCAAAGGATGCTATTAAAAAAGTGAAACAACAGTCCATAGAATGGAAGAATGTTTGCAACTCCTACATCTGATGGGGCTCTAGTATTTAGAATATATTATAATCTCTTATAATTCAAAAATAAAAAAGACAATCCAGTTAAAAATATGTAATTGATTTGAATACAGACAGAGTTTCTGCAAAGAAGATACCCGAGTGACCAATAAGCATATGCGAAGATACTCAACCTCATTAGATATTGGGTAAATGTAAATATAAGCCACAGTTAGATGCAGCATCAGACCTAACAGGGTAGCAGTAATTTAAAGGACAGACAATAGCAAGTGACTGGCAAGGAAGGGGAGACATCGGATCCTCATATAGGGCCGGGGAAACATAAAATGGTAAAGCCTCTTCAAAAAAGACTTTGACAGTTACTCCACATTCAACATGTAGTTACCATATGACCCAACAATTCTATTGCTAGGTCTATGCGCAAGGAAATTTAAAATATACATTCACGCCAAAACATACACAAACGTGCACAGTAGCATTATCAATAGTTGCCCCAATGTGGGAACAATCAGAGTGTCCCACTGTCCGAGAACAGATGATCGGAATGTGGTGATGTACAGATGGCCTGTTCCTCAGCCGCCAAGGGAACAGAACACTTGCACAGCTCCCACAGGGAACCTCCACAGCTCAGGCCAAATGAAGCGTCACCAACTGTGGAGCTGCATTTGCACACAATCTCCAGAAGCGAAGGGGAAGTTGGTGGCTTCCAGGGCTGAAGGGAGGGACAAATGGGGACTGACTGCTGACAGGGCTTCTTTAGGTGACGATGCAGATGTTCTGGAATTCTGCAGTGATGATGGCCACACAGCGTTGTGAAGGTATGAAAAGCACTCGTTATACACATTCAGATGGCGTTGTTTATGTCTGTGAACTCCAGATGTGATGTTTTATCAGCACTGTGCTATATGAAGTCAAATTGTTCCTGCAATCCATGGCCAATGGTATTCACATTTAAGCCAGGACTTAAACACAACTCAATTTGAATATTGTCTCCACCATTTATTACCCAGGGGAAAATTATGTACTTACTTTCTCTTAGCTCAGTTTCCTCCCATGTAAAGCAATAATAATGATAATGGTAATCTACTATCTGCTTTCAGGGTTGTTATCAAGATTGGTGGTTCTACCTAAATATCCCTAGAAGACAGTTTGGCATCTGGTAGGTATTCAGGAAATGGTAACTATAAATTATTAGTACTCTTCCCGATCAAATTACCCACTATATAAGATTCAGACTGTAGTATTAAATTAACCAATCTAGTAGCTTTTTCTCTACCAAAGATCCCAATTTCTTCTCTGTCCAAGAATTAATTAAGAGTCTGCCTGGTGCGCCTACATTCCCTAACATCTTCTTTGCATTCCAGTATGATTTTGTCTGAGATCACCTTCAGATTGACCTCCCTTTCCTGCACTTCACTCCTGTAAGATTTATAAACCCTCAGCCAGAAAGTCACCATCATCCTGTGCTGCACAGAAATATACAGTATACATAAGTAACAAAACTGCCTTTCAAAAATACATTCTAGTGTGGCAGAAATGTGTCCAGCACACACACTGCAGGTTGCCCTGGAGCAGGCAAGAGCTGAGTTTTGTGCATTCAGGAGACCGAGCTTGAGGCTGCTCTTGAGGTTGAAGGACCAGAGGGACAAAGCACTGGGGAAAGTGTCTGAAGCAGGGGGAGAACGAGCAGGGGAAAAGTGGACTCGGAACAGGCGAGGGAAGAGGGTGTCCTGTCCTGGAGGCTTCCCTGAGCGGCCTCGGGGTGAAGGGAAGGAGCTGAGGTGTGAAGGAGCTAATTAGTTTAAAGATCAAGAAGCTCCCCCCTCGGCAGCTCAAAAGCTCAAGATCCTGTTTCCGAAGTCACTGTCTCCACTTTCTGATTCTAAAGGAGCCCCAGAGTGCACCCTGCAGTCCAAAGTCTGTCTCCCATGGAGTGCCAGGACGAAGCTCTCCATTCAAACACCCTAACTCCTTTCTTCTAGGCCCTGCAGTTAGCTGCTGAGAGAATTGACTCATGATTCCCAATATCCAAGGCTGTGGACTCTAAGAACTATTTTTATTCAATAACTAGCAAAATAACCTCAGCAGGTGGTAGGCCTGGACACAATGATCTCAGTAAAGACTGAAAGCAGTTTTTTTTCTCTCTCTCTAAGCAACATATTAGAAACAATACAGATTTATATATATATTCCTGATTCAGCTCCTTCAAAAATAGACCCCCACGGCCCCATTCTAACTAACATTCCTCCTGTCCAAGCGCAAGTCAAGGTTATCTGCCGGGCTTTACCTGATAGTCTTTCAAATTACATTTAGCTGATGTGCCCTGTAGCTTGGCTATTTACAAACATCTTAAAGCAGCAAAATGTGTTTTGCTCACAAGGAATCTCACAAGGAACTGCAAACCAGAAGAAAATGGGTGTTCTGAAGATGGACTCTGATAGATCCGGAGAGGAGGCCTCTAAGCCCTGGCTGCTTGGCCTCTTCCAAGTGTGTCACTACTTCTGTGCATGCCAGCAGATGCTCTGCAACACCCACAAAGCTCTGAGACACCTTCACGCAATATGGGTCTTCCCTGAACACAGGGCCAAAGTCAAAGTAGCTGACACAATGATTTCATGACATGGGATGGAGGGAGATGAGGAAATGGGGAAATGATGGGATTAAATAATGGGATTAAAGCTTCATCAGAAAAAGAAAGACCTGTTCTGTGAAGTTATCTACCAGTGGTCTACACCTGCAGGGGCAGCCATCTTGACCGATGGGGAAGTCACGTGGCCAAACTTGCTGGAACTACAAGCACTTGTAAGTGTCCAAGGGGAAAAAGCATTCACATACTCAAAAGGCCACAACTGCTGATCTGTCACCCTTTCCTGGTGGTGATAAATACACTGATGTCAAAAATGTGTGTGAAGAAACTGAGTAAATGTTGAACATGTGAAAAATAACTGCACTTTTGGGATCATTTCGACCTATGTGATGGACTTTGGGGAATCAAAAGCAAACATTTTACAGGACTTACTCGAGTTTATTTCTTCTCTTAGTGGTTGCTTGCAATGAATTTGGTTGTGCAAAGATGGAAAGGGACAGGTGAGGGAGGAAGGCTGTGGGAAGCGGCCTTCAGAGGTGGAGATGCCATCTGTCCTGTCTGTTCTCTGGTGGGGCTCCATGCTCGCGGGACATGAAGTGGTCTACACCTGAAAGCCCTGACTGCTGAGGGAGGGCCTGAGGGTACACAGGCCGCTGCCAGCTTGGATAAGGAAGACCGTTTGAGCAAGGCAGGTGGTTGAGATGGGGAAACTCTGGGCATACTGACTGGCAGAAGCCACTTCTATGGAAATTCAATTGAGCCTCTTTCATCAGCAAGTCCTTTTAAAAACGGACTACAAATCGCTTCTCAGCCTTTTGGCTAAGATCAAGTGTAGTAAAAACAGACTACAACTTTGCTACTGCCCTGTTCCGGCTGTACTGTGGGACATCCTAAGATACATCTATACCTCGATGGGAAGCTGTAGGTTCAGCTGCAGGCCCCAAGAAGGACTCCAGACTGCAGCATGCATCTGCTAATGGCAAGACTGAGGGAGAAGCTCTGCAGAGGAGGATTCTCACTGCTGCAGGCGGGCCACTTCTGGGGACACTCCTCCTGGGACCTGCAACCTGATCCATGGTGAACAGCTTGCCTGACTACTCATGTAAAGCCCACGGCCTTTCCTGAGGATGGAATTTTGCTACAAGAAAATTCAATTTTGAGTCCTCTTTTGAATGAGAACTACAAAGCTCAATAATTAACTTGGCAAATGTACTAAGCGCTGAAATGTCAGCCTCTTCATCAATAAACTGTCAGTCTGGGCCTGGTAATGTATCACTGCAGGAAAGTTAACTCTCAATTCTACCGACCATCGTGGCACTCTATTTTATACAGAACAGAAATCACGCCCACTGCTTTCCTCTTCTACAGTATTTGTGAATGCCTAGTAAGGACAGCTCCTGTTCATGGCTCAGCAATGTGCCAAGCACACAGCTAAGTGCACAACATACAGTACAAGTTCTCCTGAGAACCCAGTGGGGTTGTCCTCAGAGTATTCCTCACATGGGAACAATTTCCTAGTTTGCAGATGAGGAAGGCGAAAGGCCAAATACATCATGCATAGTCACCCTACTGTTAAGTGGAAGACCCTGAATCGGAAGAGGTTGAGTTCCAAGGATGTGGATGTCCTGCCAGGGCAGTAAGGACCGCTGATGAGAGCTGCAAAATTCTGTCCGCCTGGGAAAAGATTCTCATCATATTCTCAGGGTTGTTCGTGACTCAGAGCCGGCTCAGACTCACGGTAATATAATTAATATCTTTCCCGAGACACTGCCCTGAAAGCCAGATTAGCCTTGCAGAAGATGTTCTAACTGTAGTCCAGTACTGGAACGCCCAAGTGTGTCTGAGTTCCAACCTTAGACGTTTGACCCCTAGTGTGTTATTTACTCTCTTTGTATCTCAGTTGACCCTCTCTTTTTTTTCCTTTCCTTTCCTTTTCTTTGCTTTCCGGAGATCAAACTCAGGATCTGGCACTTCAGAGACAGGTGCAGAGCCCCTGGACTAAATCCGCAGCTGTTAACCCTTTCTTAAAATGTGGAAAACAGTACCAAACTCACAGGGTGTTCAAAGAGTCCATGAAACTATAAAGTGCTTAAAGAATGCCTGGCACTTGGGAAACGCTCCCGAGGTGTTGGCTATGGTTACTGGAGCAACTTTTAGAAAAGACATAGCCTACTTGTCAGCAGTTATGAAATGGAGATGCACTCCAGTCCCACACGTCTACATTTATTTCCAAACAATTTCATAGGACTTTAAGAAGAAGCAAATAGTTGATTTTCCATGACAGCAAAGCACTCATCTTTATAGTGACGACCTGGTGCATCTTAGAGAATAAGTTAATTTGCTGGCCAGTTACTGCCAGGAAGAATGGCTTAAAAACAATTCCAAAAGCAAACCTGTCACATTTGGAAGACGTTCTTCAAGACCCAAATGGATATTCTGAAGTATTCAAAATGCTGACTCCTCAAATGTTTGGAAGGAAGTCCACTTACAGTCACCGCACCCTGGAAGGTACAGTCAGAGCTCGTTTTATTTCACCGACTATTCCACATCAATCTGACTGTCCAGGGGAGGTGTATGAGTAAAGCAGGCTCACAAAAGTCTCGCCATCCTCCACGCATCCTCCACGCATCCTCCAATGCTCGAAGGACTCGAGGGCCGCCACGCAGCTCTGCTCAATCATGTTCAGGAATCTAATGTACGATACGGAGATCAGGCCGTGCCGGGAGGGGAGGCGCTCCTGCCAGTCTCTCTGAGCAGCAAAACCAAGCCTCAGTCTCCACCTTTGACCATACGTTAACTTTGCAGTGTCTAAAATGCACATGCCAAGCAACATCAAGAGACGCCCATATTTCAGCCATTCATAAGTGACTCCAGAATTGCTGTCAAGATCAGCTGACGTCGGACTGTAACATTACCAAAATGATTATGAACGGTGTCCTGAGCAGCCAGGAAATGGGAGAGCAGCCAGGAAATGGGTGCTTTAATATGCTGGCAGGAGGAATTAACGTGTTCCTTTTGTTTTTTGTGAGACTGACATGAGAACATCTAACAAAACCTTTTAAAAGTAAATACTGACTTGCCAATTCTAAGAATTCGTGTCAAAGGAAAAAACTGGATATCTGCATAAATCATAGGTACAAGTATTCTCACTTAGGAACTGTTTATAATATAGTTTGAAAAACCTCATTACTCACAATGTAAAATTGGTTAAAATAATCCTGGCATTATCTTATCATAGGATTCTATATAGGAATTTAAAAATATTTGAAAGTTGAGATAAAAAGATCTTTGCAATACAAACTTTAAAAATCAGGTGTACAGTGTGATTCCTTTGTGTGCATATATATATTTATGTATAATAGTAGTATGTATTTTAAACCTACATACATAAAATTTACATTAAAATTGTGTTCATATATAGCAAAATTATATATTTGCATGCATAATGCGCACATTGTGTTCATATACATTAGGATCATCACACACAATTTCTGGAAGGCAATACACTAAAATTTTTTTTTTTTTTTTTTTTTTTTTTTTTTTTT